GTTCTAGGCTTATTTTTTCATGAGTTTTATTTAGGATTGCCGCTAGTGTTCGTCTCTCTCTTCGGGGCTGTATTCGAGGGTTTGGTTGGTGCTTTGACTATATATCTCTCTCAATGTGATGATTATCTTACCTATCCCCTTCCATATCCTCTCCACGTCGCTCTCGACTGTCCTCCATTGCTGCAACCGCCTCTGAATAGCTGCCATCACTTGTTTTCACTGCGGTTTTTTCGTTTCAGACACCTGTCCTCGCTGCCGCCGCCCCAGACAGTCATCCTCTTGCTGTCTTGCAGTCTCTTACATCCCCCGTCCCTACCAACATCTTTGCCCCTCGTTGCCAACGACTCGAATAGTTGTTCTCGGTTGTATTCCTCTTAATCCAGCCATCCAATTCCCTTTCCCTGCAGACTTACGACTGTTCTAGCCACACCGTCCCCTCCGCATCTATACTGCCATCACTTTTTGTCCCAGCATCACCGGCCACCGCTCCTTCCCTTCCCATGTGTTGCCTCCAGAACCTGCGCCCTACCCCCTTCCCACTTGCTGACATCATCCAGGACAGCTGCTCCACGTTATCCGCTGCATGCTTGATATTCAAATTGTTGTTTTTTGCGGGCTGACCATCTCGTCCACTGCCCCCTCACCTTCTAACCCCTCGTCGATCACCACCACCACTCAATATTCACCTTAGTTTAAGTTAGATTGCTAGGTCTGCTGTTATTTTCTTTTCAAGTGTGTCAATTATAATCGTATATTGGCTTTATTAGCAATAATATTTGTTTGTTTATTGTTGTTTGAGTTAATACCAATATCATTTGGTATCAGAGCTAGCCTAACCTTAGTCTTTTCATAAGGTTTCTAGCTTCCACCAATACCCAACCCTATCTCCACTAAAAAATTTTCTTTCCCACCCTATATAACCCATAAAACCTATTCATACTGCTGAGGAGGCAATTTTCAAAACCTAGTTAAGAGTTCACCATGGAATAAAGATAGCGACAACTTCGCTGACTGTTACAGTGACTCGATGAAATTGAGGAAAGGGCCCAAGGAGGTAATCGACGAGTGGGGTAGCGAGATCTGAAAAAGGAGGGGAAGACCACAACATTTTGAGATACAATATTAGAGGAGGCCGAGAGACGAAGTTTTTGTTAGAAGTTACATAGGTGAAGTGTCTGCTAAAGATTTTAAAGGTGAATCTCTATTCTAAAAATTTGACCTGAAATATCAGAGAATTCATAATTTTGAAGTAACAGTGGTTTTGCCACATTTTGATGGTGACTTCAATCTAGACTAGTTCATCGAGTGGCTTCAGACCGTGTAACTTTTTTGAATAATAGAAAGTCCCACCAGATAAAATAATGAAATTAGCCGCTAAGATGTTAAAGAATAATATATGATTTTGTTGGGAAAATTTGAAGGATCTACACTAGCATGAGGGAAAATATGTCACACTGATCAGATGTTCTGACCGTAGCTTCAAAAGTTAGGTGGCCACATCACTGGATGACCACCGCATCTTATAGACAGGGTCAGGGATCTTACTGTCAGAGTACACACAGGGGATCATCTAGCCGACCCCCAGCCGTAGAGAAATTGATTTAGATTCGATAACATGTGGGGGGCCAACCAACATTCCCAAATCTATCCTAGCCAAAAAGTCCACCCTGTGTTGCGGATTTGGGCATATTGAGTTAGATTGCACAACAAGAAATGATATCTTTCACTGATTTGAGAGCTTTTGAAGAAATAAACAGTGATTTAGGAGAATATGAATATTTCAAAAAGGATTCTCAACTTCCAATTGACAAGGCAGAGACACCAGCGATTCCAACTAACCCCATCAGCTGCTGAATTAACCATAGTTGTTCTAGAAGGGAGTGCGTCAGAGGTAATGGGTGTTCATGTAGAGCATGAGATTGTGGTTCTTCGAACTGCCATTTGTAGGTGTTGAGAGGAGAATCTGTAGGAATGACATTGGAAGTTCAGAAGAGCCATGAGTTTGAGGAGATGATGCTAAACACAAAGCAACCTCAAACATGAGAAGTTCAAAAGTTTTGAATGCATAGCCTATCTCCTGAGATCCCTAATGTGGGAGGTTCGACATATCATAAATGAGAAACTTTTAAGCTACTTCTGGAAGACCATAAGGAGTTATTTGGGCAATAAAATTAGTTTAGTTGTGTACCTGTCGACGGCGGATGATTCAACATGATGGACGGTCCGTAGTGCTGAAAATCGCCTTAGGAGCTTTGCAATAAGGAACATCCTACTGTGAGATTCAACTCCTTTCAGAGAAGAAGAAGAGACCTCTCTTGAGTGATTATGCTTCAGTGAGGTCAATCATGCCATGCATTTTGTCCCAGAGTTTATTTCTCTTGATAGTTTTGTTTATCAGATACATATAACAGAGTTGAGTCCACAAGATTGACTTATTGGGAGAGTGCAACATTGTCGCTACCTTCAACGAATCAGATATGACTACTGTGAGGAGACAAAAGCTTCGACGAATGAGGTTGAAGCTCTCCCAACCCCGAGCGACTGACTCGGGAGCATACTATTCTGCTCCTTTCGTGAAGAGAAAACAACGACCTGATTGTTCGCTTGGACTGATTCGTTCCAGGTTTTTTTTCTAGTCAGAGGAGTCAGCTGGTTCTCTTAGGCCACTCCTAGTTCTATTATTATATATTCACATTTATGCTGTTTTAGGTTTAGCTTATTTCATGTGTTTTATTTAGGACAGTCGTCTTTGTTCATTTCTCCCTTTGAGGGCTGTATCCGAGAGTTTGTATGGTGCTTTGACTGTATTTTTCTCCTGAGATGGTGATTATTTTTCACAACCCCTTCCACATCCTCTCTACTTCGCTCCCAACCTCCCTCCATTGCTGCAACCTCCGTCTTTGCTTTCACTACTATTTTTCTAATTTCAGACACTTGTCCTCACCGTCGGCCTTAGACAACCATCCTCTTGCCTATCCCTTGTATCCTCCGTCGTTGCCACCGTCATTCTCCCACGCTGTCGACGACCCGGATGGTCATTCCTAGGTGTTTTCCTCCTGCTTCACTCATACATACCCCTTTTCCTTGTAGCTTTGCGGCTATTCCGACCAACCCTTCCCATGCGCTGTTGCCTCTAGAACCCGCTCCCTATCCCCTTCACACTTGCTTCCATTATCCAGGACTGTTGTTCCACGTTGTTATCCGTTGCTAGCTCGCAGTTCGGAACTCAGGGAATTTCTACTTTTCTTTTTTTTTTTCTGGCCGACCATCTTGTCCATCACCTCGAGATCCACCCTAATTTGAGTTGGATTGTTGAGTATGTTGCTATTTACTTTCAAGTGTGTCAATTGTGATTGCATATTGACTTTATTAGCAATAATATTTATTTACCTATCGTTCCAGCCAATCCCTCCCATGCGCTGCCGACTCTGGAACCTGTGCCTCCCACTTCCTTCCATCATCCAAGACAGTTGTTTCACATTTTCATCCGCTGCATGCTTGCTGTCCGGAACCTGGGGAATCACTACCTTGCTGTTTCTGTTAGCCGACCGTCTCGTCCACCACCCCACCACCTTCCAGCCCCTCGCCAATTACCACCACCACCTTGAGATCCAATATAATTTGAGTGGAATTGTTGTCTCTTATTATTTTTGTTTCGGGTGTGTCAGTTGTAATGGCATATAAGTTTTATTAATAATAATATTTATTTGCCTATTGTCGTTTGGGTGAACTCCACTATCAATATGGATTTATAAATGGTGATGGTCGAAACTTCAAGTTGGTTGCCACCCTTGGGGGAGGCCAAAACTAACCACTCTTATTTTAAGTTAAAACTAATGGAGGTGAGAAGAGACCTCTTCAAGATTTGGAATGACTTTGAAGGGTTACAAACTTAGAATAATGTTTGTAGAAGTGATTCGGAGTTGATGCGTGAATTTTATAGGCTTGTAGAATTATTTCTCGTAAGACTAGTTCTAAGAGTGAGCTTGTTGGTTGGGATCCCTTCTTTGGCTTTCTTATATTTGCATGTTTGTGCTTGGGATGTGGGCCTGGAGAGGGTGGAGATGGCTTTGTGGAGCAGTGTATGGAAGTGAGAAATGCCTACCTTGGACATTTGCGCAGGAGGTAGGGAGGAAGGGGGTAACTCGCCCACCAAGGTGAAGCTCTAATTTTAAACACCAAGCCAAAAACCAATAAGTGAAACGCTCCTGTATTTTTAATACACCATAAACTTAATTATTGCTGACTATTAAGGGTTTAAAGGGTCAATGTAGGGTGGGGGCGGATTTAAAAAAAGCCCTTTTTTGGGCATGTTGGGGACCACTCCTCAAGGCAAAAGGAATTACATAAACTCTTCCACGCTTTCCGATTCAAAGTACATCACTTATCATTAAATGTTACAAATTTGTAGAAACATTGAAAGAAAATGCAAGTTAATTTCATGTCAACATAGTTTATTTTTGCTAAATTATCTTCTCGGGCTTTTGGACTTTTGCCCGTACTACTGTAAGTTTACCTTTCTTTCTTGCATGATTCTCTATTTGGGCTTCTGCATGATCTTATTGTTGTGCTACATCATTAAAGAGGGTGATTTTGTATTAGATTCTATTCTTGCGGAAAGATTTTCCACAGATATAGTTTCAAAACTCGTTCCAAACAAGAGCTTATGGTCTTTTCAAATTATTTAGCTTGGTGTCTAGTTGTACAGTCCTTTTGGTGTAGTTGTGCTTGCCATCTAGTTACAAATCTGCTTGTGTTACTTGTTGTCTGTGCTCATCATACAACTCTTAAAGGATGTTTAACTTTGTTTTTGTTATTTGCACAGAATGCATCTTAAATGCATGTGAAGTTTGACATAGTAACTTTATTTTTTTTGGAGTTGAAGATGGCTTATGCACGCTCCATCGTTATGTGCATGTTATATAAGATGCATTAACATGCCTCTAAATATGCTCTACCAATATTTTCTTACCGTTGGCTTTATTTGAGTGGTTTTGCAGGGTAATGATTCTGATGATGTAGAACAGAAGCATCACCATCATAAGCATCATCACCGCCACTACTAGGATGAGTGATTCATTCCGGAGGGTTAGTGGATCAATATTCTGCGGCACCCTATGTGTGTCCTAATAAAAACTGGGTCTGGGATCCCATGTTGCGTGAGACTCTACTTGTGATGTTGCTAGACAAGTTTGGCTGATCTTACATTACTGTGTGTTGCTGAACTGGGACTTCAAAGTTCAGCTTTAGTTATATATTTCTGTTTCTCTTACAACTCGGATAAATAACTATGATATATAACTTGTGCTTCCAGATTGTCACCTGCGTGGCTATATTTTAAATTTTTTGCAGCTTGGTTAAATCACTTTTTAAGTTCCTCGGCAGTTTCAACAATGGTCATATTTTCCTCAAATGAAATTCTCTTGCAAGTTGCAACTTGGTTAGACGACCGTGATATTTAAATTCTGCCTTTTCAGTTTCTGCGGTGTCACTTAATGTATTTTTTCATTGCAATATGTGTTATATTAAAAAATTTATAATGTGTGACATTTGGTTGAAGTGGAGGGATGCATCTGACCTATTGTGGCAGGAAAAACTTGAATTATGGAGGTCTACATTAAAGTTTAAAAGCCTTCATCTGAGTAGAACTAAAACGAAAGCTTGGATTGTAATTTAGTAATTAGTAGCTTTAGTGGCAAAGTTGTAATTATGGGTGATCAAATTATTAATAGGTGTGAATGTTTTAGATATTTCAGGTCTATTTTTTCAGTGATGGTGATATAGATGATGATGTTATTCGTGGTATTCAACTTGGTTGGCTGAATGGAGGAATGCATTGCTCTATGGTGCAAAATGTTGGCCTTTAAAAGAGAAGTATAAAATAAAGTTAAGTGTTATTGAGATGAGAATGTTTAGATGGATGAGTGACTTCACACTTAATAACAAAATGCGTAATGAATAAATTCATGAATAGGGTGGGTGTAGTGCTAGTGGCGCACAATTTTAGAGAAAGTCGCCTTAGATGGTTGGTTCACATTAAATGTCGACCATCTGATGAGTAAATGTTTTACTTTCAATTCATGTTAAGAAAAATAGTAGAACTAAAAAGTTTTGAGCATATTGTATAAAAAATGATCTTAATCTATTAGCATTAAATGAAAATATGACACTCAGTTGGACAGAAAGGAAAAAAAAGATTCATGTAGCTGACCCCACTTAGTGGGACAAAGGCTTGTTGTTGTTGCTTGACATTTTGTTTGTTGAATCTTAGTTTTTTGGGGTGGAGCACATCTGAGGAATAATGTACATATAGATAAATAGAGAGAGAGAGAGAGAGGAATGAATAATAATCCGTCGTGTCATGTCCTTAAAATAATTTCCCTATTTATAGAAGATGGTACAAAGATAATATTATAATGATGTTATTACATTTATAGAGGAGAGGACCAACAACTAAAATAATCCATCGCATCATATTATGATATTTTTGGTACTTTACATGTATAGATTTGACATCCGGTTACTTTTTTGGCTCGACTGGTTAAGTTCAGTTTACTTCAGGTCAATAAGATCAGTTTAGTTGGCTGAGCTTGGTCAGTATGGGTCGGCTGATTGATATAATCTGACTGCCAATCGTTGATTCCTGATGAGGAGCCTCTAGAGCGTCCATGAGATGGTTGGAGATGTTGTAGAACTAGATTTTCTCTTGGATCGACTCTACTAAGGGGGCAGACAATCACATTGGGCCGGTTTTCCCCTGTAGTCTTAGCGCTGATACTCTTTTGTTGTTCTTTCTGGCTGAATGATTCAAGCATGGAACATCTAGTCATCTTCTTGTTTGCCTAGTCACTCAGTAAGTTTGAGCCTTACTGCCTTGGCTCATATGGTTTTACTCGATTGATCAAGTAAGCCTCACATCCTAGCAATGGGCCAACCTTCACCACACCCTTTACTTCTAGATTGTTAGATTTCTTCAAGATCGATGCTTGCATATTTTTTATGTACATATTTTAATTTTCCGATTCTCTTATTAAAAACGACAATGTGACATGAATCATAAAATTTAATGCAAAAAGTGATCACATTCAAATTTTAAAAAATGATTCAATAATTTAATCACATTGATTTTTGTGCCTTTGATTATTATAAATAGAGCGTGTTGGGTCTCATTCCCATTCCTTTTTTTGCTCTGCATATTCTCTTATTTGAATTGGCCGACTTTCGAGTGTTGGGCATTGCAATGAATAACCCATCGAAAACCCGTGGTGACATCAACAAAGACATGATTTGCTTTGCTTTCAGAAACCAAAAGAGCGGGGCCACCTAGAAGGTAAGAGGAAGAAGAAAGTTGTGAAAGAGGATGGTAAAACTCACACTGCTTGATCAAGTGGGGTCATCTGATTCGTTCCTCGACAATATGTAAATGAATGTTCAACTAGCTGACCCGACCATTGATTTGATCGCTCAACATTCTATTGCGGCACTAGACCCTCTGGTTTACTTGGTCGCTAAATGGCTTCTAGTGATCTTTTGACACGTTCACTGGTATTTGATGGTGAGGGTGCCACATCGATTGTGATATCTGAGTTGAATCATCTTTTGAGTAAGAGACGCTTCGCTCCTAGTTGTGTGATTTGATGTTTTTTCTTAAGTCCTTTTTGTTTTTCGATGTTTCTTGGCGCATGACCCGAGCTTGGTAATCCTAGACGATGATTCAACTCAGCCCAGCGTAGGCGAGAAACTGACCGAGGCGCCAGTGACAACGAATCAGACGCTAGGTCAGGGAGACCGACTTTCGAGCGAGGATGGCTAAGTTGATTGCCCTGTCATCTCTCCTGATGGACGCTAAAAAGCAGTTGACCGACTCAGGACGTTTCCTAGGATGCTTGCTCGTCGTTTTAATAAAATCAAGAGTTCCTTTGCTTGTTTGAAAAGGATCTAGCGGGGCGAAGAATTGCGCAAGCTGTCAACTCATGTGGAAAAGGTGGAGAGGATGGAGAAGGTGGTGACAATTCTTCATCAGGAGTTGTCAATGTTTGAGAGAGATCCCTGGTGGTCCAGACTCTTGCCGAGTCAGACCGGCTCGGTTAGTTTAGGTATGGAGGGGAATTTTTCTATAGAAGATTACTTCAACTCGGGTATGTCTCGGTTGAAGTGGAGATCAACCCTTTTGTAAAGTATTTTTTCTCGAACTAATTTTGGAGTTCTTTATTGTAATTTTAATTGTCTTTTTTTTTTGGAAGAAAATTATTTTCTTGCCTCATTTTTTATGTTGATGTGATAATTGTTTAATTCTGATTTTACCCCCTACACGCAACTCAACTTCATTCATTTCCTTATAATATATATAAAGGGCGCAGGGTTTGTGATGTTATGTGTGATTTGCTTTTTTCTTTCATTCCTTTTGTCCTCCTAGTCCTCTATCTCTATGCTTTGTCCGATGGATCGATATTCTACTCATGATTTTGGGTTGGTGGCCCTGAACAATAGATTGTTAATGATCTAGGGGGAAGTCGATCCACAACAAGAGACCTGTCCTCGATCCTACTATCAAGCTTCGGGTCACTAGTTAAGCTGTCGAGCTCTCCATATGGCATTGATCTCTTCTATAAAGATCAGTTTTGGTTTGGTCTCTAACTACCCTATTGTCTCGAGTTGGGTTCCCTCTTCGTCAATTATGGCATTATCCCCACCCATATTAAGGCCAACTCCATCGCAACCATCACGAGGGGAGGCTTTTGTGGGAATGCCTGAAGTAGGTTCTCCCCACCACTCGGTCGACCACTCGGTCATTCATCGATTTTCCTGCGAGGGACGAGGGCAAACACCTTGCTCCTGACAGCCTGATAGGATCCCCCTAAGGGGATCAGCTCGAGCTAATCAGCCATGAAGGGCAACGTCGCCGTGAGGAGAAAGCACTAGTGACTGATTTGAGCGACATGCCTCTTGCTTCATCTCGGAAGAAACATAAGGGATATGCATTCAAGTGGATCCTAATGCAAGACGTGGATTTGAAAGTGAGCGCGAGCTTAGATGGTAGGTTTGTGCTAATCGACCTTTGAAAGGACTGGTACTCCTACTCCTATGCGCCGGATCACTATCATTGATAGGTGAAGTGATTTGGTCTCTTGACTTCGAAAAGCCCTTCTGAACGTAACTTGTTAGCCCTGTGTCGAACGACTAATAGATACCTTCAGGGAAGCTTCTCCTCTTCAGTCAACCATCCTTTATCGGGAGCGACAGGAATTGTTGGAGGCTAGGCAAAAGTTGGTTGAGGCTAACGAGAGGGTGAAGGCAGATGTTCTTAGGCAGTCAGAGTTGATTTCGACCACTCAAGAGGAGAACTGAATCTTGCGTGACCAAATGACAACGATGAAGACTCCTAAATTTTTTTTTGCCGATCTCTCTCATCCTGCTTAGGTAGCTCTTTTGGCAGAAAAGTTCAAAGATGGGTCTTTTTTGGCATTGGCCAGTTGGTTTTCCTTGAAAGGGCTGATATAGAGAAATTTTTCACGCTGCTATCTGATTCAGAGGAGGCAGAGGACGAGAGTGATCACGATGAGGACTGTCATCGAATGTATGACCTGCTCCCGCCTTTTTCCTGTAAGTTACTTTGAGATTTTTTTTTTCTAACAGATCTTAAAAAGTTAGAATTTTTGTGTCATCTCTTAGTTATGAATGAGAAATGAGGTTTTTAGTTGATCACACTTTTGTTCTTGCACTTTACTTTTTCAATCATATTTCTTATTTATTTATTTATTTTTTTGCGCTTGAACTGAATGATCTGTGTTGTGATGAGCGTTCGTTTGTAAAGATTGATAAGTCGACAAATTAAGAATGTTCTCAGGTTGTTCACTAAGTTACCGCCTGGTTCAAGTCTTACATCTCTAATGTCTCTGTCAGTCGATTATGTCGTCTTTTCACTTTACACTAAAAGCATTAGGCGGCTCTTATAGTAGTCTTCATGGGGATAGCCGTCCATACTTGCTTTTGGGGTGATTCATACATTATCCACTGCGGATCTTGCTGCTAGAACTTAACTTGTTTTGAGGCATGAGATATGGGTATTTATGATGCATGAGCGTTATGGGCTGGATCTCTTGTGGTTTATTGATCGAGCTTTATCCGTCTCTGTCGATTATCTAAGTGATTTTTACTGATCAAACATTATTTTTTGCTGTCAGGTTTGCTGCTCAGGTGGAACCACTGTTGGCTGGTCGGCTCGAGTTCTCTGAGTGTCAACCAGACTCAATGATACCTTGCGGAAACTTTCCAAACTCCTCGAGTGTTGGCCGGCCTTTGTTTCAGATTGCGCACATAATTAGAAAATTTTACTTAATCATTTTTTTTGGAATTGACAATAAAATATAAGGGTTGATAGAATTTTTTTGGGCGAGATACAAATATTTTCCT